CATGAAAGATGTCCAAATAATCCTGGGGATCCTCTGAAGATGCACATTGAAATGAACTGGGAAAAGCTTGGTAAACCTATCCAACATCTACAAAGCCTCAGAGGTCATAGCTGATCCATCAGCGATCTGTGGCGCAACACCCGACTGAACTACCCCAACGGGCTGAGCTGCTGGAGTCTCAAATTGAGGATCCATCTGCTTCGGAGTGTGGGTAGCGGGAGTCTGTGCTCCTCCCCCAGCCTGAGAGACGGCTGGTGCTACAGGGAATGTTTCGGTATGTACCATACTCTCCATAAGGCCCACTAGATGGACCAAAGCATCTTGAAGTATCGGGGTGGTGATGAACCCCTCAAGGACCTGAGCTGGTGTTGATGTGCCGTAGAATTTCGGCACATTTGATACCAATTACTTTGATTTAAACTCGTCTTTTAATGTATTTTTAGTTAATTCTTATCAAGTTTGATTGTTTTGTAGTGCATGAGCTTGAAGATCCAAAAACATGGAAACGAAGTCAAAAAGTCACAAATGGATGGAAATGCTACAAGTATGCAACCGCATAAGCCACATGCGGACCGCATAAATCAGATGCTGATTGCAAAGTGAAGCAGATTTGTTGGCCAAATGAAGAGAAGACTATGCGATCGCTTAACACCTTTGCGAGCCGCACAATGATCGCATAATGCCAGTAGAAGAAGCTTCTCAACACGATCTGCGATGGCACAATGTGATCGCATAACAAACATGCAGACCGCATAATCTATATACGGTGGAAGCCTGGATCTGGTGACTTTCAAGTCTGCGATGTGATTGGAAATTATGCGGACCGCATACGTGGTCTACGACCATTATGCGGTCGCATAAGCTATATGAAAAGGTCAATTTTGTCCGATTTTGACGATGACTTTTGGTCCACTATAAAAAGATTAACTAGGGTTTTGTGGTTCATTCAAGTCTGAAAAAGGTCCTACATAGACAGCATTGAATACTCCATTAATTTGGAAGCTTGTGAAGAAGGAATCTTTCACTTTTGTAAGCTTTATGACTTTATTAAATACTCTGTTCTTGTATTTTAGCATGAGTAGCTAGTTTTAAATACTAAAGTTGTGGACCCTAGATGGGTGTAATGTTAATGAGTGTTTAACATTGAATATATATATATATAATGTTTGGTTGATATTTATTCAATTCTTGTTCTTTATTTATGGTTGGTGGTTGCAAACATTAACCTATTCCATTTTACTCTTTCTTTACTTGGAAAAGTGGGATAGAGTTTGGTAGAATTGACTATCAAGAACTCAAGACTTTAAATCTTGTTTAATAGAATCACTTAGGAATAAGTGAGTTCTACTTGGCATAAATTGGTTGTTATTAAATTGCAACTCTTTTATATTTGGAAAAATATAAAGAGAAAATACTACTCAACTATTGGAAAATATTGGGTAGTCATTTAGGAACCATTTGCTTATAAAAAGGACCTTCCATTAGAAATATATCATATTACCACCGATAGCATTACATTTCATTGATTGGGACACAACGTTGGTTTCCTTAATCAAATTATTCACATTCTCGTAACAAAATTAGTTATCTTCTCAATTCACAATTATATCAATCGCTTGTTACGTTAAAGGAATAGAATTATGACATAAGTCAAGTTTCATACTACTCAAGTAATTTTTTCACGCCTATTCCCTGTGGCATTTGACCCCAACCTTGTTGGGTTACTAAATTTGACACCGACCGTCTTACACTAGTTAATTAAAGTGTAATTTGAGCGTATCAAATTTTGGCGCCGTTGCCGGGGAATACAATTTTGAAATTACTTATTTGTGTGTGCTTTACTTTACGTCTTCTTCTATTCCATCACACTTTGCTTGTTTTGCTTGGTGTTGGTAGGAAAATATGGTCGAATGAGGAAGAAGAAAATCCTCTTGCGGACATAGATGAGTACATTGAGGATACAAACGCTACTGTACCTCCGAGAGTTGACGCTGCCACTTTCAAAGTGGAACATGGTTTAATCCTAATGCTCAAAGCGGAGGGGTTTTTCAGGAATTCCACTGAAGATGATCCAACACAACATCTCAGAAACTTCTTGGGTGTGTGTGCGATGCATATGTAGAACAACGTCTCAGATGATGCCCTAAGATTGAGGGTGTTCAAGTACTCACTGACTGGAGAGGCAAGGAAATGGATTCAAAATCTACCACAAAACTCAATTCATTCTTGGCCTGAACTTGTCTGAGCATTCTTAGCCAAATGGTTCCCGCAAAGCAAGAAATCTGAGCCCCGGGATAAAATTTTCTTTTTCAAGCAACTAGTGGGAGAACATCTACATTAGGCATGGGATCGATTCAAGTTATATTTGGTGAGGTCGCCTAATCATGTTTCCGGATTCTATTTTGTTGGAGAAATTCTACATGGGTTTGGATGCTATGAACCAATCTATAGCCAAGAATGCAGCTGATTGATCTTTTATGGATAAGACATTTGCAAGGATCACACAAATCCTTGACAAAATGGCAAAACATAACCAAGCTTGGCACTCAAAGGACACCACAGGTGGAATTGCACATGGTACTCCTTCCTTGATCAACATGATTAAGGAGAACCAAGAAAGAGATCAAGTGATCGCCGGACTTGCCACCAACGTCAATGTGTTGATGAGGATGTTTACTGAAAGCCAAACAAAAAAGGTAAATGTGGTGGAAGATGTTCTACCCACATCAAATGAAGATTATGAGGAAGCAAATTATGTCAAAAACTCTCAAGGAGGCTATCAAAGGCAACAATACTAAAGTCAAGGACAACAAAATCAATGGAGGCCTAACCCGCAAGGGCAAGGCAACCAACAATGGCAAAATGACCAAGGTAGTTCAAATCAAGGGAATTGGAGTAACAACAACTACTTCTCAAATCGGAGTTCAAACCCTTATGTTCCACCAAAGGGGAAATATTCAAATCAAGGTTCCTCAAGTAATTCCAAGTTCAAACATGCTTGAACGGGTGTTGCAAAATAAAGATAGGTCGGACACTTCAAAATTTGGAGATGCAAATGAGAGATCTCTCAAGAGAACAAAATCCAAAGCAAAAGGGGGACACTCCTAAGTGACACAATTGCGAACCCAAAGGGTAGTTGGAGTGGTCCAACTTCTCATTGCATGGCAATTACCACTCGGAGTGGTAAAGTACTTCAAGGAGAGAGTGAACAAGTGGTTGAAGTGGAAGATTCCGAACAAGAAGTTGAGGCACAAGTTGAAGAGCAAATTGTTGATGAAGTTAAAAAGGTCCCGGAAGAATTGAAAGTTCAAGAGGTAAACTGGGAAGAGGTTAAGAAAAAGGTAAAAGAGATGCCAAACACTCTACCACCAATTCCTAGACCTCCTCCTCCTTTCCCTCAAAGACTTGCTAGGAAGGTTGATGATAGCAAACTCGAGAAATTCTATGACATTCTCAAGAAATTATCGGTAAATATTCCATTTGTGGGAGCATTTCAAGAGATGCCGGGTTTCGCTAAGTATTTGAAAGACTTGATCACCATGAAGAAAACCACCAAGAACAAAGTGGTGAATGTGACTCACCGAGTTAGTTCCATCATTCCAGCAACCACCGTTTAAAAGAAAGAAGACCCGGGAGCTTTCACCATTCCATGCATATTGGGGCGCGTAATTTCGCAAGAGCTCTTGTGATAATGGGGCTAGCATCAACTTAATGCCTCTTTCTATTTACAAGCAATCGGGGTTAGGTATGCCGAGGCATACAAGTATGAGGTTGCAAATGGCCGATCGTTCAATAAAGAGGCCTGTGGGAATTGTTGATGATGTGCTTGTGAAAGTGGGAAAGTTCCATCTACCCGCCGACTTTGTGATCCTTGATTGTGTGGTTGACAAAGAGATCCCTATCATCTTGGGGAGACCATTCCTTGCTACCGGAAGAGCACTTATGGATTCGTAACGAAACGAGAACAAGTTCCGAGCCAATGATGAAGAGGTTGCATTCCAAGCGAGCAAGGGTATGAAGTTGCCAAATGCAGATGAAAGCATCTCGGTCATTAATGTTGTTGATGAGGTGGAAGACGCAGTTGAGATGAAGATGGAAGAATAATGCCTTGGTGAGGCGTTGGCGGCTATTTTGGTAAATTTTGATGGTGAAGACATGGAGGGGTACATGGAATCAGTGAATGCACTAGAAGGGATTGGGTCCTGCACTTATGCTCCTAAGAAACTCTCTCTTGACTTAGAGAATAGAATAACTCCTCCCGCCAAGCCTTCAATTATTGAGTCGCCGCAACTTGAGCTCAAACCACTTCCACCGCACTTGAGGTATAAATTTCATGGCTCTAATGACACTCTACCGGTAATAATTTATTCTTTGTTGAATAATGTGTAGGTAGAACAACTGTTAAATGTCTTGAATGAGCATCGGTAAGCTATTGGGTGGACAATAACGGACATCCGAGGGATTCCCGTCGGAATTTGTGAACACAAGATACAATTGGAGCATGAGAGTAAACCAAGTGTGGAGAATCAACGACGGTTAAACCCTTCCCTGCAAGAGGTGGTAAAGAAAGAAATCATCAAGTGGTTAGATTCCGGGGTAGTCTACCCCATTGCCGATAGTTCTTGGGTGAGTCCGGTGCAATGTGTGCCGAAGAAAGGAGGCATGGCCGTGATTGAAAATGAAATAAATGAGCTCGTCCCAATGAGAACAGTGACCAGATGGAGGGTTGCATGGATTACCGGAAGCTAAACAGTGCTACGTCCAAGGACCATTTCCCTATGCCTTTTATTGATCAAATGCTTGATCGGCTAGCGGGAAGGTCATTCTATTGCTTCTTGGATGGATATTCCGGCTATAACTAAATCAATATTGCAATGGAAGATCAAGAAAAGACAACATTCACATGCCCATATAGGACGTTTGCATTTAGCCGTATGTCATTTGGGCTATGCAACGCTCCAGATACTTTCCAAAGGTGCATGATGTCAATCTTCTCGGACATGGTGGAAGATTTCTTAGAGGTGTTTATGGAAGATTTCTCTGTTGTGGGTGATTCCTTTGAGCATTGTCTTGACAACCTTAGACAAGTGCTCAAAAGATGTGAAGAAATAAACCTTGGGCTAAATTGGGAGAAATGCCACTTCATGGTGGACGAGGATATTGTTTTGGGCCGCAAAATTTTCAAACAAGGCATAGGGGTTGACCGGGCAATGATCGAGATCATTTCCAAGCTCCCTCCACCTACTTCAATAAAAGGTGTCCGATGTTTTTTGGAGCACGCCGGCTTCTATAGGAGTTTCATCAAGGAATTCTCCAAAATTGTAAATCCCATGTGCAAACTCCTTGAAAAAGATGCAGAGTTCATATTTGATGAGAAGTGCCTCAAGGCCTTTGAGGAATTGAAAGAAAAGCTCACCACGTCACCTATTATTGTCACACCCGATTGGTCTCTTCCATTCGAACTCATGTGTGATGCTAGTGGTGTAGCTATTGGGGCGGTGCTAGGCCAATGTCATAACAAGATCCTTCACCATGTATACTATGCAAGCAAGACACTCAATGGCGCTCAAATGAATTACATTCTGACTGAGCAAGAGCTTTTCGCCATTGTTTATGCCTTTGAAAAGTTTCGGGCTTATTTGTTAGGGTCCAAATTGATAGTTTACGCTGATCATGTTGCCTTCGTTATCTTATGGCGAAGAAGGATGCCAAACCAAGATTGATTCAGTGGGTTCTTTTGTTTCAAGAGTTTGACTTTGAAGTCAAGTATCGGAAGGGGACAGAAAATCAAGTTGCGAATCACCTATCTAGGCTTGAGGAGGCAGGGAGACCAAAAGAAGACCTTGAGATCAATGATACTTTTTCGGATGAGCACATATTGGCGTTGTCTAGCACATTCGCTCCTTGGTATGCCGACATCGCTAAATTCTTGGTTAGTGATCTTATTATCGATGGATTAGAGACTTATCAAAAGAAAAAGTTCCTGCGGGAATCTAGGCAATACTATTGGGAGGAACCCTTTTTGTTCCGAATTTGTGCCAACAACACCATTTGCCATTGTGTTCTGGAAGATGAAGTAATGGCTATTCTCAAAGCATGCCATGATTCTCCTGTGGGGGACACCATGGAGGAAACCAGACAACTACAAAGGTGTTTGAATCTGGCTACTATTGGCCATTGATCTACCAAGACGCAAATCAAATGGTCAAGGCATGCGATCAATGTCAAAGACAAGGGTCAATATCTAAAAGACGTGAGATGCCTATGAATTTTGTATTGGAGGTCGAGATTTTTGATGTGTGGGGGATAGATTTTATGGGCCTTTTTGTGAGCTCTTATGGCATGATCTACATCTTAGTGGTTGTGGACTACGTCTCCAAATGGGTCGAGGCAATCGCCTTACCTAACAATGAAGCAAGGAATGTGACCCCATTCTTGAAGAAGAACATATTCAAGCGGTTTGGTACCCCAAGGGCCATCCCGAGTGATGGTGGTTCTCATTTCTGCAATAGGGCTTTCACCGGGCTGCTTGAAAAGTATGGTGTAAAGCACAAGGTGGCCACACCCTATCATCCACTGTCGAGCGGTCAGGTTGAAGTTTCTAACAGGGAAATCAAGAAAATTCTAGCTAAAACTATCAATGCAAATAGGACCGACTGGTCAAGGAAACTAGATGATGCGTTGTGGGCATATCACACGGCATTTAAGACTCCTATTGGTACTTCACCGTACCGTTTGGTTATTGGCAAATCATGTCACTTGCCAGTGGAGCTTGAACACAAAGCCACGTGGGCATTGAAGAAGTTGAATCTTGACTGGGCCGAGGCTGCTAATCTAAGAATGACAAAACTCAATGAGATGGAGGAGTTCCGTCTCTATGCCTTTGAGAATGCAGCCATGTACAAGGAGAGAATGAAGTTTGTCCATGATAAGAAGATCTTGATGCGGGAGTTCAATTCTGGTGACTTGGTCTTACTCTTCAATTCAAGACTCAAGTTATTTCCAGGAAAACTCAAGTCAAAATGGTCTGGCCCATTCAAAGTTGTGAGTGTGTCCCCCTATGGTGCTATTGGACTGGAGTCGGAGGATGGACTCGAAGTTTCAAGGTGAATGGTGTCGACGCCCCTTTTTTCTCGCGAAATCGGGTTTACGACATTTGGGAGGACAACTCTATTCCTTTTTGGGACTTAGGTTTTTGGAATTGAAGAATCGCCACCTAATGACTAAGTGCATTAGGACACTAAGGGTTTTGAGTTAGAAAACCAGAGTTCGGGTAAGGGCTAGAAATTATCTCGAGGGGAAGGTGTTAGGCACCCCTCAAGATCCACTAGTGTGGTTCCCGGCCATGTTATATTGTGACTTCACATAATCAAGTAGTCAATTAAGGGCTCAAATAGAAAGGTCTCACATACAATATTGCAAGTAAGTCGAAACTTGAGTAAAGGTAAAGAGGGCAGGAATTTTATGAAAAAAAAGGTTTAAACAATTCTAAAAAAGATAAACGAAAGCAAGTAAAGGGAGGGGGTCCTATGTTTATGATTAATATGGATCACGTCAATGCAATACCCAGTAATCACTCCTCTAAAGAGGGGCTACATGAGGTATAATCGCACCTGTCATCATATCCATATCTACCCTTCCACCCCGTTAAGGTATTAAAGCGCGGATTGGTCTCGGTTACTATTGCATGCTATTACCCGTCCCATTCCTATCAGTCCCGGAGGCACTTAGGACTACTAGTCCTAAATGGTGGGATATTAGGCTGATTGGTTTCAAAGGATAAAAATCTAAGGCGACATACAAAAACACATACTGCACATTGGGGGGGGGGGGGGTAGCAATGTAAACATATAAAGGCTCATGTATACCTCCTCAAACAAACACATAAATAGCATGACTTAAACACAATTAAGGTCTCAAAGATAGGAACTTTTACAGCAGTTAAAACATGGTTTTAAAAAAAGAAGTAGTAACAGTAGTTTAATGAGGTGCCGGACAAATAAAATAGCACGATTCTGGGCAGAGGTTGGTAATCCAGTAATTTGAGGACATAAAAATCAGAAACTCAGTAAGAATAAATGGGTGCACCATTTCAAAATCATTTTCGGATGAAGCAGAGTTTTTTTAACAAACAAAAAATAGAGTGAACTTCAGAGAATCAGAGCAAAAATGGGGACGGCAGAGTTGAAATTGAAGAAGTTGGTTGGTCTTAAGCTAATAAAAACACGATCAGTTCTTATTGGGCCTAAAGCTTGCCTAGGTGTTGTTATACATTGTCTGATTATCTTAAGAGACAGACATGCATATTTTGATTCTAATTTATAAAGGTACGCGTGATAGGGCATTTGCAGAAAACGTTGCAAACCACTTAGCCATATTTTAACAAAGTTATTAGACAAACGTGAATTAACTACTGCAACTCGAACGAGTGAGAAGTCCTAAGGGCAGGATATCTAATGCACATAGAAGTACTTAAAACATGGTTTCTAACATGCCAATGCAGTAATGACAAATTATGTGGCTTGTTGTTAATTATTTGCTAGTTATTAACTGATCGTGATTACAAGAGAGCGTAATGACAGGCTGAAAGTAAAGAACCTAAAGCAGGATCTCTAATGAACGAGATGCATGGCCTATACAGGTTATCTATTGCGCAGATAAGTAAATAAAATCCTACAAGCATGTTTTCTACCCATTATTTATACTAAGCATGCATAACCCTCCCCCATATTCACTATTCAAAGAAAGTAAAAATGGTTCAAAGTAGAGAATCTTTTAGAAGAAACTCGAGAATAAGCAGAACATAGAGAAAAATATGAAAATAGCATGAAAATAACATTGTTTTGAGAGATTCAGGAGAGGGTTAGGGTTTCAAGAAAAAAAAGGGGGGAAAACCCTAATAGAAGTGGAGAGAACCTGTTAACATTTCAGAGATCGTGACATATAGGGTATGATTTCGCCTGAAATCACACCGGAGAACTCACATGTAGCAGAACTAGGAACCCTAGGTCTGAATCACCAAGGTCCATAGACCTTGAAGGTCCTAGAGATGTTGAACAGGACAACGAGAGGCCCATCGGAGCCTTGGGGTTGAAGGGAGGTGGCCGGAGATGGCCGGAGAGGCGGAGCTTTTAGGGACTGATTTGCATGGTGGAGGCTACTGGGGTCTCAAAAATAGAGGGCATCGGTGAGTTGGGGTTTCATGGCGGCTGATGGTCGAAAAGGGCGAGATTGGATGTGGCCGGAGAGACGGTGGAGATCATCGGAGAAGAGAGAACCAGAAGGTTCTAGAGGGAAGGGAGAGGAAGAGACGATATAGAGAGAGAGACAGTCTCAGAGAGAATGAGGGGTTTGGGGGGGGGGGATAATTGAATTTAATTAAGGCAAATGAATCTGGGCCGTTGATCTCATTTGATCAACGGCTCAGATTAAAACGTGGTTGGACCGGGTTATATTAGGGATTAGGATGGGTTAGTTTAATTAGGATATTGGGCCATTTGAATCTGATAGTGGGTGTGGCCAATTTGGCTAGAATTGAAATAATAAAGGGCTGTTTGCTAAATAGCCAATTTTCTCCTTTTATCATTTTATAAAATAGTAAAAAATGATTTAAAAAATAAATTAAAGGTACTGGACTAATTAATAACATATAAATATTAATGTAAAAATACCAAAAGTGATTTTATAATTGTAAAATGTTGTTAATTGTAAAATAGGCCATAATTGCTATATGCAATTTAGCTAAAAAAATACCAGACAAATGTATAAAAATATGCAAAAATTACCTTAATTATATCTTAGTGTAAATATGAGAATAAAAATAAATTATTCTCCAAAAATGCTAGTTTGGGAATAATTTTTGAATTTTGTAGTATTAAAATAGACAATAAATTGATTTAAAATATCTTTAAAAAATAAAGGAAAAATACCAAAGCTTTTGGGCATGCTTATATATGCATGTACATGCTATTTTGAGAATATTTTGAGTATAAAAAATATAATGTAGGGAAAAATCGGGTAAGTCAACAGCTGCCCCTCTTTACCCGACGAAGGATGAAAGAGTTGTCGGGTAAAGATATGATGGCCAATTTTGACCGAAAGAAACGAATTTGAAAAGGTTNCCATTATTTATACTAAGCATGCATAACCCTCCCCCATATTCACTATTCAACCCCAATCGTTCGTTTACAAATGATTACAAACCAGTATCATCTGAATTACAGTGAATAAGAACAAAAATAAGAAGTTATTCTATAGGGAGCCTTCAATCAGGCCCAGTCTTCCAACCTCAACCCCTTCGAGTTCACAGCCGTTGCCATGGTCTAGGTGCGACAAAGCTCCCTAAGGCCCTATTGGGTCCCTGGCCAATACTAGCACCTAGACATTTAAAAGAAAATGCAGGACATCTGCAGTGTGGAATACCAGCCTTGTGTGTCAAAGTTCAGTGAGTACTCAGAGGTACTCAAAGCAATGCTCACACGAAGGGGGCAGAACCTATTTTCTAAGAGTAATGTGAAGTGCAGGAAGAAGAGTTTTCGAAAATAAGGGGGTTTGTTTTAAAAGAAAATGACTGAACCATAGTTCAACAGTACATGATTGCATACAAGGATCATGGGGAAAGGGGAACAGATAGATCACACAATGCTGAAGGGGATACAGGTTTAATGAACATGACTACACAGAATCAAGGGATTCAGGGGAACCTGGAAGTAGTAAAATTTAGGCATGCTAATGTATAACAACAGGACATAGGCATAGCAAGGAATAGACAAAGTCAGACTTAGCATGTAAATCAGAAGACATGGTGAAGTATTAGAGCAAAGAATCAATTACACATTGAGCAGGAGAAGCATAAGTAGAAGAAAATCACAAGATAATGAACTGAAACAAAAATAAAAACATTGGTGTGAGACTTGAAAATTAATTAGGACATACCAGTAAAAGAGCAAAAGCAGGATGCAAAGACAAGGTAGTAACTCTATATTAGCCTTGGCTTTCAGCCGACTAATAATAAGCAGGAGCAGAGAATAGCAATAGAATAAAGAGCAAGAGAGAATGCAGATTTTAAAGTATTCACTGTGTGTAAGCCAGGAAGACTTGTCGTGTGTGTTATGTAAAAGACTTAGGGTATTTATAGTTGAAAGTAGGTGGTAAAAATAAGGTAAACAAATCACAGAAATA